CTTCTTTTTTTGGGGGGGGAATCAGCAAATGATATCACAATGTCCGCAGATCAAAACGGCCGAACTGGGAGCCGGCGGTAAACCGTTAACCACGTTTCTTGCGGTTTGCGGTCTCGCGGTCAGGCCCTCATGGGGCAGCGAGCGGGCTTACGATGAGCCAAGAAAAACTGCAACACAGCCGAGCCAGGAGGCTGAGGCATCTGCATCAAAGGCCTGCCGAGCCAGTAGGCGTAGGCATCACAAAAGAAGACACGCCAGAGAGACGGATCGCAGCGGCAAAACCGCCCCGACCCACCACCAGACACACGCCTGTGCGGCCCTGCGTTGCCGCTCGCTCTGGGGAGCCTTGGTGTCGAGTTGTTTACGTCATCCTTCGCTCTTGGGCGCCTTGGTATCATTCTCCCCCCCCGAACCAACGAAAAACAATTATTTCGTTCATTTTGCAGTGGCTTGGGGGGCCGTTCGGGCGCGTCTTTTGGGGGTCTTGGAAGCCGCCTCTTGTCGATCGATCTCACCATCGATCTCACTGGATCGATTGCAATGTCGATCTCACTCTGGATCTCGCGATCGATCCCACTAACGATCTCCCTACCGATATCACTCGATCTCACAATCGATATCACTATTCATCGCACTATCGATCTCACTATCGATCTCACGATCGATTTCACTATCGGTCTCAGTATCGATCTCCCGATCGATCTCACAATCGATTTCGTCATCGGTCTCACTACCGTTCTCGCACCAGCGAGACACCGGGACACCGGCGGGACACCGCTTGCCGGAGGGAGAATCATTTGGTCCAGCCACAAGCGGGACTCTGGCGGGACACCGGCGGGACACCGCGAGCCACCGCGTGCCGGAGGGAGAATCATTTGGTCCGGCCGCGCCTCAGCCACAGGGGACTTTCTTCTCGCCCGCCCACGCAGCTTCGCCTCGCCCGCACGCACGGCACGCGCGAACACGAAACCGAAACCGATTTCCTGGTGGGGGGCTCTCCGTTCAAATTCGATCTCACCCTCCAACCTCCGATGTTCTGTGTTTTTGTATTCCCCCCGCTTCCCATACTGTCTCATATTTTCTGGGGAATCGACGATTAATTGTGTCTGTGTATTTTTTCCCCTTTGAAACTCGTCTGGATGCCCCGCCCAGCAACCCGAGACGGGCCAATAGGCCATCGGGAGGGCCCAGCGACGGCTCCTGGCGGCCCCGGGGCGGTCCACGAGGCACAACCGACAGCCCTGGAGGACTCCTAGACGGGCCCAAGACCGCCCAAAATGGCCTTATGACGGCCCAACCTGGCCATCGCTCGGACGTCCATTCCCTGTGCTTGTTTCGGTTTCGAACACACGTCCGACCGATGCCACACGTCCGAACGATGCCAAGCAACACAGGCCCCACCCAGCCCAAAATGGCCCCAAGACGGCCCGCAGGGCACCGCGGACGGCCCCAGAGGACCCTCGAGGCCCAGCGGGAACTCCAAGACGGCTCCCAAAGAACCCCCCACGAGAGCCCCCCCCCTCCTGGTCACGTTTCCTTGCAAACGCTGCCCCCTGCGAGCAGTGCTTGGGCACCCAAGGCGTCTTCCTCCGAGACACCCAGGGGTCGGCGGATGTGTCACAACCCTGCAGAGACCGCGTCCACAAGTGACGCGCTGACCGGCAGCGTCTTCTGCGGAAGGGAGAATGCAACGTATCCGATGTGTTTAATGATTGCTCAATTGCAATGTGTCCCATTGGTACATATAGCATTGTGTTGCATTAATATGTATCCCCCTAACTCCCCCCCAGCGGTACGCCACATCCGTCGACCCAACCTGACCCTCCCTTCCTGGGGCCCAAGGATTTACACAAGCCGACAGAAAATCTATGCGTTCGGCCTGTTCGCCCTCTTGGGGTATCCATGAGGGCCTCATGCCGGCCCTGGATGGACTCAAGACGGGCGAAGACGCCCCCAAGACGGTCCAGGATGACCCCAGGGGCTGGACAAAACCCTTTAAGACGCCCCAGTTCGGGCAGAACGACACGGCTGACCAGCGCGACCAACGTGCAAAGAAAACCACCATACGCCCAGTCTTTACGTGTTCCGG